ATGGTCAAATGCGGTTCCATACACAACCTGGTGTTGGTAGGGTTAGTAGGACTTCTGATTTGAAAATATTCTCCATTGTTCCTTCAACTTTTACTTGCAACTGACTTCTTTCAGAAAGTGTGATTGCTTTTATTGTGTTTTTGTATGAGAGATTTTTTTAATTATCAAAACAAGCTAATTTTCTATTTCTGTCGGTTCTGTCAGGAATGAATTTGAGAAGGAGAAGATCCCCTCCCTGGCTGAAGCCCTGAACACCTGCTTGGACCTTGGGTTGAAGGTCATCATTGATGTCAAGTATTCAACCCACCAGGTGAGGAATTATTCTTGGTTTGAAGCCATGTTTTTCTGAGGTCTTATGGGTATCTACTTTTGTCAGTGTAGGCAAAGGTATAATACAGTACACATTCAAATTTGGGGTATTGTTGGTCTTTGAATGATGTGCCTTTTATTAAAAAAAAATTGTAGTACACAGTGTAAATATGAATATGAAATATGAATCTGATTATAGACCTCATGCCAGCCTTCAGTTTGCCAGCTTTTTTTTTTGTCTGTTAACTGCTTTGCTTTACTTTCCTTACCATGAACATTTTCAACTATCTTAGTTGGTGACACTTTTCTCTTTATTAATTGAAGAAAGCCTGCCAAAAATCATTGCATAGTAAATTCAAAATCCATATTCTCTGATCATTGATGAATGAGGATAATGGAAACTTAGATCTACGTACATTGTGGGTGTAAAAAGAAATAAGCTCCTCCTATTTTGCCTAGGTTATGCAAATAATTCATATTTAGTGCTGGTTACTCTCTGGATTGCTTTGTTATTATTGCCTCAAAGTTCAATTTCATGAAGCTAGTTGTAAAAATGGCTTCAAAAATGCTTTATTTTCTTTATTTCATTGTCAGCTAAAATTCATTACATTTGCAACTTGTGACCATATTTTGATATTTGCAACTCTCAGTGCAGTTTAAAGATTTGCATGATTATTTCTGGCCACTCTGTGCAATGTCAGTAAATTATTGCCTTTGCTGTTTCATATTTATTTTTTCAAAACCCTTCATAAGCTTTCTTTTAGGCAGCAGATGTGATATTGGAGATGTTCAGGACAATCCCAAATCTACATCATCATGCCATGGTCTGCTCATGCTTCCCCAACTTCATATACAGGGTATGCATTGGAATGCAGGATTCCTAAGTTTGCAGGCAATGATCAGAGAATATGGATTTTGAATTTACTATGCAATGATTTTTGGCAGGCTTTCTTCAATTAATAAAGAGAAAAGTGTCACCAACTAAGATAGTTGAAAATGTTCATGGTAAGGAAAGTAAAGCAAAGCAGTTAACAGACAAAAAAAAAAGCTGNATGCCAGCCTTCAGTTTGCCAGCTTTTTTTTTTTTAAGCCTGCCCAAATCTCTGCGTGTTGTAAAGTATTCTATTGAAGAAGGAGAAAGTGGTGTAGCTTTTTTCCCCCAACTATTTATAGTGCATAATAGTCTCCATCAGAATGTAGTGTTCTTGGCATTAAATTGCTAGCTCTGTGTGAAGTATTAATAAACAGATATGAATAGTTTCTAGCTAAAAAAAAAAACTACAAAATCAGTCTCTTCAGGATGAACATCAGAGATTTCCATGCATCTTCATGGTGGAAAATGCTCAATTTTGGAAATATATCAACTTGATCCTTCTTGAAAAAAACTGCTGCTATCAATATATACAGGCTTCATGATGTAGTTAGTCTTTTGATTCTTACCTGTCAAAGGTCACATATTGAAACACAAAGTTTTACCTTGGTGTTTCACTTATGTTAAATTGCTGTGTTTGGCAACACGATGGCACTCAGAAGTTCCATTTTGAAATGTTTAATTTCGAATGGATTGTTTTATTTATTCACTGCACATCCTTTCTTTAGCAAGAATGACTTTATGTGATCGACTCAAAATAGGTTGCATCAATTAGTGGAACAAACTTCATCTGAATTTTAAAAATTCTATCAATAATTTTGCTGATTTGGAATTTAAATGGTAGGTCCGGAAGGAGGATCCTCGGATTGTGTTCTCGATGGGATTCCGGCCGTGGTACTACAGCCACAGGGCGTTCTCTGGGCAACAAGGACCAAGCAGCCCAAGATTCAGGCATTTCAAGCACATCCTTGCTGTGGGCCTGGATCTCATCATGCATTGGGCTCTCATGCACATCCTGGTTGACTTCCTGGGCATCTCTGCTATCCTCTTCGTCAAGGATGCCCTTCATAGGTTCAGTCCTGTTTTCTGTTTTCCTTAAGGAAAAGTAGCTCATTTGAGATGTGCAATGGTTTGATTGTGATTAGTGTCAAGCAACAGACGTGTGATTTAATCAGGTGCAATATGATGATGGGATTCTGTTAATACACTTGAAATAGACCAAATGGATTATGTTAAATAGAATCCAATCTAAGTTGACTGATAATGGTGCCATTATTGAGTCACATTTTGGCTGGTTGGACAATCACAGGTATGAAGTCACCAGGTGGAAGGCAAAGGGCGTGAGAGTATATGCTTGGACGGTGAACAGTCCAACTGCGAAACGGTATTTCCTCGAGGAGGTGCAGGTCCCAATTCTCACTGACACTCTTTTTCCATCCGTGAGGAAGAAACCCTCATTGGTTTCTTCATGAAGAGGCACAAAAGCATTCTTGCACTATTTGGGCATCTCAATGAAATTTTAACAGATCTGTATTTCTTCCTGGTCTTTCCTGTTGTTGTTTCCCAGTTTGTCAAGAATACACTTTTTTTTTAGTCACTTTTGCATGGTTGCTTATTCTTGACAATTCCATTCACATTTTTTCACCTATCTTCCTTTTCATAGCTTTTGCCATTGCAAGTTTTTAGTATTGACTATCTGACCTGACCTTTGCTTAATTTTGTCATTCATAACACTCAACTAGTCACCAAATTGTATTTTGCTGTGATTCATTTGGAATGTCTGCATTAATCTTCCCTCAAATTATGGCGATTTTTCTTTTAGATATAATGTAATGCTCCTAACCCTTTCTTCCCATTCAATCCGCATGGCAACCACCTAATACAATTAGTCACCATTTCCATTCAGTAATTTAGCCATGAAATACCTGAACTTATCAAAATGATGCAATAATACAACTCCGAAGTGATTACCTGTGTGTTGTGATGTGACAGGGAAGAAGCAGTCTCGGATGTTCATAGTTTCTCCTATGACTTTTACATTCATGGTTGAAACAATTGAGGCTTTTCTTCCCATAAATCTGATATCTTTGCACCATGAGGACAGGATGAAAGAACACATTCAAACAACGCCTCTGGGTGATGCACTTGAATCCCTTCTTCAACTCTTGCTGTAACATTTTGCCATCATTAGCTGATGGTTACCAATAGGTATTCCATTCTTGAGAACCATAAATGTAATGTTTCTGAAATTGAGAGGAACAGAGACTCAAAGGTATCTTCATCATTGGCAGAAATTGTAACTGACCACATCATGGACATTTTCTGAAGTTGCCAAATGGATCTCACTAAAGAAAATGACGAGGATACACTGGTCATATGATACATGACTAATGCTTTAGCCGTGGTCAAGCATGGAGTGTCGTAAGTGATACTTGCAGGTGCTTTTTGAATCTAAACACTTGTTCAATTCCTTCCAGCTAGTTGTTTAGTGTCCTCATGCATATTTTTCAAAGGACTAATCTCTCATCTGCTAATATTGTATACCAGATTGGTTGTCATAAATCACTAATTTGTAAAGCTATCCAAATGATTTTCATGCCTCAGCACTTGTGATGGAACTTTGGTTGTAATACACCGTTTTAATAAATGTGAGAGGTGTAAAAGCAGCAGCAATGACAGACCCTTTCCTCTTCCTTTGTTTGCCCCATTGCTATTCATGCATGGGGCCTTGTGTACAGTATTCTCAATCAGGAGACAAAGAGAAATTCCTAATATAGAGTATACCATGATCTTAAGCTGTGAACAGGTTTATACCTGCTTGATAAGCAGTTTTTTCTTGCAATATTTTTCATATTGGGCTGAAAATTAGTCAAACTTGCCTCATCATTGGAAAATTGATCTTGTTAAAAAAAAAAGCCACGCTATCATCTGGCCTGTATATATTCAGGAGTTATTTATAGATGTGCCTCTGGTTTAAGCTCTAGGTATTTCTGGTTTCAAAAGCATTCAATCCCCAAAAATTTTCAGTTGCTGTGCAGGTCAAATTTAAAAATACAGTATTATTACTCCCCCACTTTTTCCTACCTCCATGAGGTATTGTTGGTTGAAAATTGAGAGACCATCATTACAATATTAGCACTATGAACACACACAAGGCAAAGAATTGAGTCTGGGTGACAGCAAGTTCTTTGTTGCAAAAAGATAAATTCCTTCTTTCTGGGGAATAGTGTCATGGTAACACACGCTTTATGCAGAGTCCAGATACTCATAAAAAACATTGCTTGTGTCCTTGTGGACTTGGAAAACCCATAAGCTACACCTGCAAAGGTTTCCCATGGGAAAGTATAGAGATAAAGCCAGAGGGTCTGGTGCCTGTGGCATGGAGAAATCTTTTTCCATGGCACTAAATATGTAGATTGCATATGCCACACACCCCATTTTTTGGTGTTCATTTCTTATTCTGTCAGTCTTCCTTATTTGAAGTGCACCAGTGTATGTAAGTTCTAACTTCCTGTTATGTTTTATTACGCATTTTAGGTATTCTAAATAGTATAGTGGGTGTAATGTTTTCTCCTTCTTTCGGGTCCCGGTTTTTCTGTACGAAAACTAGGTCACTTAAGAGATTGATGTAAAAAACTTTTTGTAATTACTTTGCATTGCAAAACATTGCATGAGGACTCTGTGCTTGGTTGTTGCAAAAAATCCAAAAAGACACATCAATCCAGCTTCACTAGAATGAGAAATATCACAGGAGTCCATTTGCCAATGACTCGCAATATTCCACATTGGTTTCAGGAGATAAAAACGCAACACGAAGTCGTCAGAGCCGTCGGAGGTTCCGACGGCTCTTGGAACTGCCGACCGGAGCGGACTGCTCCAGTCGGCCCTGGACGGAACTGCACGGATTGTTTGGGTGGGGTGGGGTGAGGCAGCGGGAACAGAAGTAATAATGGCAGCTGCGTCCTGTGCATTCTGCCCGGTGGGTGTGCCGATCCACCCGTGCGGGAGAGGAGCAGTGGGGGCATGGGGTCAAGTGCTCGTCCTTGTTCAGCCTCCTGCCAGCCTGATGAAAGAAAGCCAGAATCATGTAGATTCTTCAGATCATATAATTTAACAGTCTGGGCATGGGAGGTATATCCAGGATACATGCACTATCTCATCTGCTTCCTACCCTTAGTCATAAAAGTCAACACAACATAGCATTCAATAGAAGCCAGCTGGGATTATGCAGATTCTACAGCCCCCCCACTGATATATTATCAGAAAGTTTCATCCTGAGCTAACAGTGCCATATGGACCAGACCTCAGGACTTGAAATGGCTATCAATATTCCTGACATTGCCAAGCTATTTTTAATAAAATAAATAGAACTATGGAAAAATGCAAGTGGCTGGTAGTTATCTCCCTTATCTCTCCATATTTCACTTTTATCTCCCCCTCTCACCTTATCTTAATTCATGAAAGACAAATAGGTCATGCACTGCAGGGAGAAAAGTAAACCCTTACACTCTCAAAGGATGAATGGGCTAGTGTCACCGTGTAAATAAGATTACTGAAGGCAACAGAATGTCAATTAATGCCATTCATGAATATTGTTTCCTAAGTGGAAGTAGAATGAAGAAAAATTTGCAAAGTGTTCAGAAGATATATGACAGCATTATGGAAGTGAAAAAAAGAGCATGAAACAAATATTCCCTCCCATGAAGAACCACAATTAAATATCGAGTGCTAATGAGCCACATAAACTAAGTAGTTGTCATTGGTCATCAGCCTATTAACTGGAAACTGGGATCACTCCCTACATTAAGTGTCATCAGATTGAAATTCTGTTCCAATATCCAAGACTACAATCCTGGGGAAAGAAATACTTGAAAACTTTACCTTCATGAACTAATGCTGAATATTACAGAGAAAACCTGCTTCATTGTTCTAACTGACAAGCACTTGAGCCATAGTAACACAGGCCAAATTATATATTCCTTTGAGAATATCCTCTCACCTCAAAGAAAGTGAGAAATTTGCGTTTAGAGGGGCTGTAGGGGGTTTCGGAAGAACCAGAGGTGCCGCTGCCGCTGGAGAAGTCCGTGTTTGAGAGGTTCTTGCAGGGTGACGACTTTCCCGTTCGCGATATCGATGACGGAGTTTCGCTGAAGCTCTTCCGAACCACGTTCTCCTGTGAAAAGGGGAAAGAAATTACCCTCCCATGGTCATTGTGAAATTCCAGCAGATAGGTCTGCCCTCTGCCACATCAGGCTTAAGTAATACTGCTCCATAATCAACCATGCAATGATAACCCTAAATCCACTCAGACACGAGTTCATAACTTGCGAGACCCTCAGTGCACAAAATGATTAATTTATTTGCTATTATGAATTTGAAAATACTCACTTAGAATTAGTCTCTGGGGAGTTAAGGAAAACTTTCAAAGTTCCTGAAGAAACATTGCCTGATAGTTCAGAATATGCATCATGTGACACTACTAGAGTTGCATTATTTTTGCAGCTTTATGATCAATTTCACCTTTTATATAGCATATGTGGAATAAAATTTATTTTCTAAGACTTATTCACAAGATGTTATGATGACTCCTTATATCTGAGAAACTCAAAATTGTGGGAAACTCAGGTTTAGAGTTTCTAAACAGACAATCTTAATTGCATAATCAGACACCTCACCTTCCCCATCTGCTTCTTGAGCTTGCGGCACTCTTCCAGGAAACGCTTCCTCCTCCGGTCGGAACAGGGATCCCCGAGGACGGCCTGTCGCCACGCTTGCGAGACGACACACACGCGGCAGAGGTCTTTCGGCGACAGGTAAGATAGAAGAAGGGTTAATGCAGGTGGGCAATCTCCCAGCTTGGTGAGTTCGAGCAGCACGTCCACCGTGGGCTCTCCGGCGAAACAGAGCCGCTTTGGAACCGCACACAACTTGCTTGAAGTGACCAGAGATGAGACGGGAGTGGCGATTGCTTTTGCTTGAAAAGGCTTAGGCCTCACATATTGCACGGTGGAAAAGTTGGCTCTGGCCACGTCGCACTTTTCCCATTCCGAGAGGGTTTCGGCCAGAGGCAGTCCCGTAGGCAGCTCCGGGGACGAAAAGTCTGGGGTCTCGGCGAACTCGAACCGCCTCTGGGCCCGGGAGGCCTTTCGGCAGAAGTCCAACAGGGGGGATTCGCTCGAGACGGACGAGAGATCGGTCTTGGACGAGCGGATCGGGTGAAGGGGGGACAGGGACCCGATGAGGGAGTCCGACATGCTGCTGTCCCGAAGAGTTTCCGGGCTCGACTCGAACGAGAGGTGCTGGCTCCATGTTGGCATTTGCTGGAAGAAAAGAAATCAACAGTTTCAAGACCAAGGCTTTATATATTTGCATTAGGGCATGATTCCTCAAGGTTTCATCCTGTAAGGGAAACATGCTCCACAAATACTTTAATCCTTCAAGATCAGCATTAAATAAATGTAAATGAAGTAAAAGCAAACCTCTCAACCATCCACAATGAAATGTCATTGACCACAAAGATACAAATTCCAAAAGAGGTCACAGAGTCTCAGGATTCCTTCCAGCCCTCAAGGTTATGCATTCCTATAAAGCCCTACAAAATATAGAAGAAAATGCAAACCTTCCAAGTCTGAAAGGGTTATAGTATAAGCAAAAAATTCAGTCAGAAATGTATTTTCTTTAAGATTTTTTACTTTCCATTCCCATTCTCAGCTTGACCTGTCACACTGTGGTAACTCCATAAAATTGAGTCACTCATAATAACTTAAGCAATACCTTTCATATAAGGGTCAGCCTGGGTGAAGTTCCCTGAATTTCTTTTGTTTAGGCAATATATCTACATAAACCCAAAACCTGGCTGAAAATTTTCTGACTGAAAAATCAGTCCATTTTCTTCACCAGTGATTGCTGATAAATCAAGTTCAGTGGCTCCTAGGCATGAAATAATTTTTCTTTTTCTTAGTTCACCAGCCTATGCCTTGGCAGACGACTCTTAATTTTCCAGATTTTCCAGGCATAAGGGAACCATGAATTCCTTGTCATGTGAGGCCAAGGTTTAGGGTAAGATTGGACCTTAGACGCGAAAGCCCACGAAACCTAACGTTAGTCTATGATCGCATAGGCTAGGCGAATCGCTCCTGCTTCACACCTGTTTCGTCCGTTTCAGCGGCGAAAGTTCCAACGGCGACGCCACCGACTTCTTCACGTTCTTCGGCGAAATTCCAATCCTCCCGACGGTGTTGAGGGACGAGGACAGCCGCGGCAGGAGCCGTTTCTCCTCGGTCTCCACTTGGCGCGGGACTTCCAGGTTCAACCCGCTGAGACATGCGGAACGCGAGAGCTCTTCGGCCATGGAGCTGGAAGGCACGCGTCTCAGCATCTTCCCTCCTAACAATGCACTTCTAAATATCCTAGCATAAAACAGGTAAAAGCGAAAAATGAGGGATCGTGCCGGATGCCTAAGCAGCTCGGGACACAACTGAGTGGGGACCCTCGCCCGCGAAATCAGCTGACACGCGTTTTGAAAACGAGAGCCCATTGCCCGACCAATCAGAGAGGACTCCTTTGCGACGCCAGAGACCCGCCCCTTCTGCGCTTCACTGGCGGCCGGCTGGTAGAGGTATACGAGGGCGGGTATTTCTGATTCCATCTCTACTGTGTCACCTGTGACCAGTGTGTGCGTAGCCCCCTCGGGCCCTAAGCGGTCCGCAGGACGTCATGGGGAAGTGAGAATGGAGGAGGTCTCTACTATTCGATTTCGGGTATACAAAAGTGACCCCAAAGAGCTGGCGCTGTTGTCGCGGCACCTTTTGAAGCCACGGGGTCAACCATGGGGTCGACCACTCTGCAGACCACGTGGTAGCCATGCTCGAAGCATTTCTCTGCTCCCAGCTGCAGCCATAGTGGGGGACGTGTGGCCCAAATAAATCATTACGAGTACGGACTCAGGCAAGAGAGGAACAAAAGCACAGGTGTAAGCCAAATGGACAGGCCTTACTCGTCGCTAACGCTACAGAACCAGGCCAACACCCTCTGAATACATATCATCATTGGACTGGGCCTGACGCTCCCGGTTTTCAATGATCGTACGCTAAGCCTTTGATGGGCCTCATGTTTGGCCTATTTGCAAAGGGCCTAGGCAAGCAAAAATCATTGCTAACTCGAGTCCAGTCTGTGCATCATTTTCAAAGCAAGCTCATGAGTTTTCACTACTTCAGTTCAGCTTTATTTGGGTTGTTTGAAGTGATGACACAGTGACAGAAGAATAATGGTCAATCAAATGAAGCAATACAGGGGAAACAAAACAAATTGGAAAATGAAACAAAGTAGAGGAAAAGAGAGACTAAACTGATAGGGTTGTGTTATGTGGAGGGAGAGAACGTACTGAATCAGATTCAAATTAAAAGGAGGGAAATATAGATTTGGAAGAATTCACAAAACCCAAAAGTGTAATATAGAATAGTGAGTGAGTTTGATTTAGAAAGGCCTCTAGAGAAAATATTGTTTTGGGGTTTTTCTTTTCATTATGAAGATTTCCCTCAACAACTCAATTTTTTATTATGTCTGAAATTCACTCCATAGTCTTACAATGCCTGGAGAAAAGGAATTTGCATTTAATATTGGTTTGAGTAGAAAGTCAGTTGAAGGTGTGTTTCAAGGTTTCTGTTGCCGATAGTTGCTGATAGCTAAGTGGCCCAAAATCCAATGGTCAGGCTTTGAGGAATGATTAATTTTTAATGTAGTTCAAGGGAAAGTTATTTATGACGATTTTGGAGGGAGACGAGACTTAATGTTTGGAAACGAATAAGGTATTGGAGGGGAGGTGTTCTTATACTTACCTTTGAGGTAATTTGAGTCAATTTCCTTTGAATTCCTTCAATTTTGGAGCTGTATGTCTCACAAAATGGGGACCAAACTGGTGCATAATTGTCAAAGTGAGGTTGAATTATTGTACAGTAAAGTTTCAGTTTGGCACTAGCTCTACAAGCTTAAGCCACAAGGCTTAAAGGATGCCCAGAAGTTTTTGCCCACTTTTGGCAGAGTTTTTGTACACGTAAGTTCCATGATAGAGTGCTGGAGATAGGCCTAGTTGCTCATGGGAATCATGCGCTGCAATTGACCTTGTTTTGTGTTGTGTGATGGCAGATCCATTTCTATGGTTCTAATCTATGAAAGAAAGTATGTGTTATCAACATTAAGCTCCATGCAGTACATGTCGCACCTCTGCGAGATGTTGTCATTGTCTACATCCAATTGTAAGAGGTTTTCATCTTGGATTGATTTTATGGAGAACACAAGCAGAATTTTACCTGCAAAGAGGTAAGGGCTGGAGGTGACTGAGAGAGACATGTCAGTAATATATTGAAGAAACAGGAGAAGACCAAGTATGGGTCCTTGGGGCATTCCAGATAATATTTATTGGGAGGGAGATGGTTTTGGTTGCTGACTTGCTGTTGCTATTTTCTGTAAGTCAGGAAGGATTGTATCCATTGCAAAGTAGCACCTCTGATTCCACACATAAATTGTTGTTTTATGAGTAGAAGTTTGTGTGGTAGCTTATCAAAAGCTTTACCGAAGTTAAGGACTCATAAATGTATTCTCCAAACACTGTCATCATCATACGAAGATGTCACTTTTGTCTCAAACATTTGGAAGTTGATCAATCGAGCAAAGTAGCACCCATGAAGGTGCTACAATGTTTCAAAAATGTGAACACCATGTACATTGTGCCCATACTCTCCCTTAAAACCTAGTACTTTGCCTGGTGAAAAATAAGGAAGCATTACTGAGTCAGAGCATGAGGCAGAGAATCCATTTTCCTGTATTAATTCAGACAATTTGCCAATTTCTCATCGGATGCACCATATTGAAGCCGTGGAACCAGCCTTTCACATGCACTCCAGCATCTTCAATTATTGGGCTGCTGAACTCACAGTCAAGTAATGCTACTTGTGTTGCCACTGTCGCAGACAAGGCAGCCTTCATGGGGGGGCAGGGGTGGTTTTTCTTTCATCTTTCCAAAAGTCTGCCTTCAGAAAAACCTTCTGAGGGCATCTTGGCAAACTCAAATGGTCGGAGTCAACTGGGGGCTAACTTTTTCAAGGGTCCATCACCACTAATGATGCATCCAAGTATTTCCTTTAATGGGATTGGTTTTCAAATGTTCTGTTTTGGAGTAATAGGAAAGTCATGAACACAGGATTTATTTATGCATTTTCTGGTGTATCTCTAGGTACTAGACAGGTGATTGCTCTGCTGGTGTCCATCAAGCACAATATCCTTCAGCAGTGAGGAAGATTGGATAATGTGGAGATCCTGATTCAAGGGCGTATGGACAGAAATAGTCTTTTTGCAGGACCTCAGGTCAAATTGACAGTCAATGTTCCTGATTTGACTCTCCCCATCATTTGTCTTGATTTCCATAAGACTAATCAGAAACTGAACTCTCCAGATAATAGGGAATCATTGGTAGGTCCAACTTTTATGAGGGATTATCCTAGCATTGGAAAATTGACAAGTTATTGTTTGGATTTGAGAAAATCATTGAGGTTCATTTTCAGTGTAATGCACTGGAATCAAAGTGGACTAGGAGTGGACCACCTGATGCTTATGCTTGGGAAGATGTAGTAGCCTGGTGGCATATTTAATGGGAGCAGGAGGGGCTGCCCCCCCTGGTGTCCTTGAGACAGAGCCTGGTGCTCTTTGGAAAGCGATATTTTTCTCCTCAGATATTGCTTGTGTGGGGTTTGGGCTCCTTGCTCTGCTGTCCTTTCTCATCTACCACTTTGAACAAAATATGCCACTGTTGATGCCTATCATAATAATGTTAGATTTTTTACTTGCTCATCAAGGGACCATTAGCTCAGCATTTGTCTTGTGATGTCATGCAACTAACTTCTGAATTCCCATGCAGATTCCAGGAGTTTACCTCCAGAGTAGGCAATCCAGGAGTGACAGTCCACATTCAGGGAACAGACAAGGTATTTAGACGTGATGATCCTTCTCCTTCTCGGCCCACCTCCGAACCAAACCATCCCGTTTTGGTGAGAACCCTTTCTTCATTTTCACATGGTTGTGTTTCACTCTCGCTTTCTCTCAGGTATGAGATGGGACATATTCTCTGGGGGTATATTTTTGGACCCCTATGCATATCTGAGTACTGAGTGGATCATTTTACTGCTAAGAATAAGCACCAAAATAATTTTCATAAGAATGTAATTTTTTTTCTAAATTGGAAAAGACCCAAGGGAGAAAGCGAGGGTCGATCCATTTCTGGGTAGATGAGGTTCATTTGCAATATGCACTAAGCAGGAGGAGCGGTCATCGCAAACTTAATTTTGAGATGATGGGAAGGACATTGTAATTGAAATCAAAATCAGTACACAAGCAGAAATGTAAAAACTTGTGATGCAGCTGTTTTCAGCCCCAGCAAATAAGTGAAACCAATTGCAATCATGGCATTGCAAGACTTGTGTTTTTTTCCCACAAAACACCCATGCTTCTAGCGAAGCGTTGTCTTCTGGGCATGAGGAGATGGTTCGGGGTTTTACAAGTCATCGAGTAAAATAGTAGATAAAACGGAATGTTGGACCACAATGTAGAGTTTTTGAAGGAACGACTCGAGAACTCGTCCTGTGACTCTTTCCCTGTGTTGCGACTGCCTATGGGAGAAATCTCTCAACTGTGGTGGTTACGGTCTGTAGGTGTGTCTGTAGGTGTGTCTGTAGGCGTGTCGGCTGGGAGAAATGCGAATTGAGTGGAAAAGATCACCAAAGGAGTGATTTTCTCTGGTGTCCATGAGAATAGTTTTGTAACAAAATTGTAGATTTGATTTTCCTTCATTGCATTTACTTCGATGAAGCACATTAAGCTTTTCGGGTAAATTCTAAAGATGTTGCTGGATGCAAGGATGTTAGCCACAATCGATGTTGCTCTCTTTTGTAGTTATCTCAAGAACTTCTGGAGAGCCCAATGTAAAATTTAGCATAAATTTCACTACATATCTTGCCTGCGAGCCATTCAATTTTTTTTTTTTAACGATTGTTTTTGGTAATGAGGTCAAAGGTCATTATGATGACTTCCTCATTGTAAGTTTACTTATAGCACATATTCAAACAATAATCACTTGTTTGAAAAGGGCTCTCGCTCAAACGGAGAAGAATTTACGAGGGGAAGACTGCATCATAGTGTGGCAAAAGAGGAATTTTGGCTTGAATTTTCACGATCTCATATCTGAGGAGCAAGAAGTCAAATGAATCATATAATTGCTGCAAGTCGCTTTCTAACAGGTGCAAATTAGCTTGCCAAATTTCATTAAAATCCGAGAAAGTGTTGATTCGACACGGAATGACCCATATGTTGCAATTAAACCAGCAAAAGGCTAATTTAAAAACCTTCCTGGCATGTTCCTTAAGGTCAGCAAGACCAGGCTGACTTTTTTCCTTTTCTTTTCTTTTCTTTTTTACGCTTTTGGGTCGAATACCCATGTTGCGGAGCATGGCTTCTAATTGCCCAATGAGATTAATTGGATTAATTGCAAAGGGAGCAACAATATGCATGGTATGTTATGGTATGGTATGGTATGTGTAATGTTCGTTGGAATGGACGCTGGGTCTGGAAGGGTAACTGTCGCTTTTGACGTTCCCATAG